GAAGGTGAGTGTGGTGAGCTATTCATCTTCTGACTGCCCGACAGACTCAGTATGTAAGTCCTCTTGCTTTGTAGCTGCTTCATACCACCTGCCAACCTGGAATGACTCTCTTCAGTGTTTCCTTGTCCACCGTGTATGGGGACCAGTCTGTGAACCAGTATGAATATGGGCCATGTATTTATCTCATTAATGAGAAAACCAGCAAGATGGTGAGGCTGGTTTAAAAGAAATACAAGAAAACATGTACCAAACTGAGTGGAGAAAAGAATGCTGAATTAGACTCGAATGTTAAATATACCAGTTAATATCTGGGGAGGCAGTTAAACGGTCCCCTTTGGGGTTACCTTTTCTATCAAAATGAAGTCATCTCAACTGGACAAAAATAATTTGCAATTTAGCAATCTTCTACAAAATAACATGTAACTTGTACCAAGTTTGGCACCTCACTAACAGTCAATACTAAGTCAAATAAAACTACCTCCCCTAGAACTTCAAGTTACCCTTAAGCAGGCTCATTAGACAATGTTCTTGTTAGAACACAAAATGGGCACACAGTAACCCCTTTCCTTATTTTCAGGTTACGTGTAACTTTTCTAAAGAGATGTCCCAGGTACCTACTAGTAGTAATAAACCACTCCGGAATTTTGTGTTTTAAAACCACCATTTTATTGTATCACCACAGTTTCATGGGTCAGGTATTTGGGAAAGGCTCAGCTGAGTGATTCTTCTACTCCACGTGGGGTCGGATGGGGGTCGCTGGATGATATTCCACTGGTAGCTGAGTGGTCTGGAGAGTCCCGGACAGCTTCATTCATCATTCCAGTGTGGCTGGTGATCTGGCTGCAGCTGGACCGCTCTTCCTCTCCACGGAGCCTCAGAGCCTTCCCCTGTGACCTCTCCGGCAAGGTAAACAGACGTCTAAGGCGGACCCAGTGTCAGCCTTCTTAGAGAGTAGACACAGAACTGACACAGCTCACCGCCCCCACCTCTCCCTTGGCCAAAGCCGTCACAGTCCAGATTCAAGGAGCCCACCTCTCGATGAGGGAACAGGCAAAGAATCTGCAGGCTCTTTTAGTCTACCACAAGTTTTTGTCTTATACATTTTTCATTATACTGCTAATCTTTTTGTCTGAGGTCTGCTGCACCAAGGGTTCCCATAACTTTCTAGGATGTCCATCACAACTTGACTATGTGAGAAATGACCCTCTGGGCAGCCTACCACTCTTTTTCTCCCTCTCTATAACCCTCTGCAAGCACTCAAGGGTAATAACTGAAAGCAGTGGTTCTCAAAGTGTTGTCCCAGAACCAACAGCATCAGCATCACTTGGGAACTGTATAAATGTAACCCTTAGGTCCCACTTCATAACTACAAAGTCAGAAACTCTGGGGATGGGGCCCAGCAGCGTGTTTTAATAAGCCCTCATGCTGAGGCTGGGAACCACTATTGTAGAGCTGTACATTACTTAATGAAAATTAATACAACATCTGAAACCAGTCTCACAAGAAAGTACATTTTATGTTCTTTTACCACCATCAAAAAAAAAAGAGGATGTCTAGATTCTGTGAATAGCACAGAAGGTTATTTACAGCTTCTGAAAAAGAACAGAATGCTAAAGCATGGTGGCGTTCACTAACTGATGTCCTCTCTCTGATGCCAAAAGCCTTTTTCATACACCTGGCATGAAGGAGAGACTTTTATTCCATCCATTCAAGGGACAGTCTCCAGAGACCTCATATCATATTTCTCCAGAATTACCTGTGAACATAATTTGTACCTTCTCCATCTGAAGAATGGGGTTGTTGGGACTTCTCTGGTGGTCTAGTGGATAAGACTCTGTGCTCCCAAGACAAGGGACCTGGGTTCAATCTCTGGTCAGGGAATTAGATCCCACACGCAGCAACTAATACGCTGCACATCCAGATAAATAAATATTTTTAAAAAGAAAAGAATGGGCCTGTTATGTAGTTTAAAAAACACACTATTTACCTAAAGGGATTCTCATGAACCTCCATTAAAGACAGGCCTCACAGAGAGAAAAACAAGTAAATTTATTGATGGTCTTTATGATACTTTGCTTTCTGTTTCTTTCACTTCCGCTCTTTATAATTTTTTTCCTTATTCTTTGAGATTATCCTATTTTCTATACAAACTGCTTTAGCTGTATCCTAAAAGCCTTTCTATGTTAATAAGTTTATAGCTTAGTTGTAAATGTTTCCTACTTCCCATTATGTTTTCTCAAGTAGTTCATTAATTAGAGGCGTGGAGTTTGTTTTTTAAATTTCCGATTTCTAACATAATCATCAGAAAACAGGATCCACAACATCAGGAATCAACAAACTCTTTCTGTACAGGCCAGATAGTAAATATTTCAGGCTTTGTTAGCCAAACGGCCTCCATTTTAAGCATGCAACTCTCCCTTGGTTCCCTAAAGCAACCAAAAACAATATGTAAATAAATAAGGATGGCTGCATTCCAACAAAACTTTACTGACAAAAACAGGCAGCTGGCCAGATTTGACTGTGTGTCACAATTTGCCAGACTTCCCATGTAGTGCAGTGATAAAGAATCCTCCTGCCAGTGCAGAAGACTCAAGATACTTGAGTTTGATCCCTGGGTGGGGAAGATCCCCTGGAGGAGGAAACAGCAACCCACTCCAGTATTTTTGCCTGGAAAATCCCATGGACAGAGGAGCCTCGTGGGCTACAGTCCATAAGGTTGCACAGAGTCAGACACGGGTTTGCTACTGCTGCTGCTGCTAAGTCACTTCAGTCCTGTCTGACTCTGTGCGACCCCGTCCCTAGGATTCTCCAGGCAAGAATACTGGAGTGGGTTGCCATTTCCTCCTCCAATGCATAAAAGTGAGAAGTGAAAGAAGTCGCTCAGTCATGTCTGACTCTTCAAGACCCCATGGACTGCAGCCTACCAGGCTCCTCTGACCATGGGATTTTCCAGGCAAGAGTCCTGGAGTGGGGTATGCACGGGTTTACATGGCACCAATTCTTTGATCATTGTTAAGACTTGCTGGTACCTAGCATATGAAATTGTGTAATGTTGTATGAATGCTTGGATTCTAATTTCATCTTGTACTTAGCCTGCTCCATTTCAAGCTTTAGGTCTGGCCCATGTACACATTCACTTTTGTAAAACCATCACAGTGATTAACAGATTGGATTTTTGGAAGCAGAGAGACCTGGTTGCCATTGCTATGGGTGGTTTAGTGTTAGTCTCTAAGTCTTGCCGACTCCTCTTTGCAACCCCATGGACTGCAGCCCACCAGGCTCCTGTGTCCGTGAGATTTTCCAGGGAAGGATACTGGAGTGGGTTGCCATTTCCTTCTCCAGGGGATCTTCCTGACCCAGGGATTGAACCTGGGTCTCCAGCACTGCTGGCAGATTCTATGCTGACTGAGCTACAAGGGAAGTGGTTTAGGATAAATTATTTAACATCTCTAATCCTCAAGTTCCACATCTATACAGAAAATAATAGTACCCATCTCACAACTTCAGAAGGTAAAGAATCTGCCTGCCAATCCAGAAGGCCCAGGTTCGACGCCTGGGTCAGGAAGATCCAAAGGGCATAGCAACCAACCACAGTGGTCCTGCCTGGAGAATTCCAAGCACAGAGGAGCCTGATGGGCTACAGTCCATGGGTTGCAAAGAGCGACACAACTGAGCGATTAGCAGTATCACTATCTCACAAACCGCAATTAAGAGCAGTAGTATTAGAATCATCGTGCCATTGAACCACTACTCTGTGAAGCAGGTATCATTAAATCCACTTTACAGAGAAATTAAGCCTCAGACACGTTTAGGTAACTTGCTCCAAACCTAATAGCCAGTGACAAAGCACTGCCTCCCACCCAGAACTTCCTGTTCCAAATTCACAATTTTCACTCCTCAGACTCTGATTAAGCTGGTAAGGAATTTATGCCACTCCTAAGGCAAGGCTGCACTCTGAGACACCAGGAGAAAGGAGTTGCGAAATGCCCTCCTTAATTCTTCGAATTAATTCTTCGTGGTGCGAGTTTAATCCTCAAGGAGAGTCCAGAGGCCGAAAGGGCAGGGCGGGCCGCGCTACCAGAGGTAAATCTCCCCATCAGGCTTCCGGAAGCACGGCGCCCCGGGCAAACGCCTTCCCAGGCTTGATCCTCTCAGGAGCTGGTGTCTCCCAGCGGCACCCTCAGCCTCGAAGACCGTGCTGCCCACGGCTGAGTTGCCCTTCTCCGCTCTCCCACTCTGCGCACCTGGGGCCTAAAAATACCTCTCGGGTGGAACCTCCCTAAACTAGTCTTCGGCTTTTTTTTTTTTAACGCCCTCACCACTTAGACACACATAAATCACAGCCCTGATCTGCTGTCGGCTCAGCGGGTGACGTGCCGCTGAAAGTGGCGACGAACGCAGCCCCTTCCGGAGACCTGAACGTCTCCCCCCGCCCCTCCCCCACATTCGGGGCAAACGGTCAGTCGTGAGGAACTCCGAGCAACTCGAAGACGGTGTTGGACGTTGTAAAGACAGTCTAGGAATCTCCATTTCTTCCAGCCCAGGCTAACTTAAGCCTGCGACTCTTCAAAGCCCTGACCTGTGACAATCACAAGGCTTTTTCTCCGCCCCGTCAGTGACGGAAAACTCGTGACTGGAACCTGAGCGCCGGCCGAGCGCAGAGGAGCCGGAGGGGGGCGGAGCTACAAGCCCAGACCGCGAGGAAGCCCCCGACGGGCGGCGCGTGCGCAGTCTCTCTCCGCGGGACCTCCTTCCCGCCGCTGAGACCAGGAAGCGGGACGCCAAATCTGTCCCCGCGCAGCCGCCGCCGTGGGGCGCCGAGCGGGACGGCCGCCCTCTCCGAGGCGCGCCTGCGCACGTCCCCACGCACGCTCTGGCGTACGGCGGCGGCCAGGGGTCGCGAGCCGGTGGAGGACCCGCGCGCGGAGGAGCCCGGAGAGTCGGCGCCTCTTCCCTCCCTCTCCCATTCCCCTCCCCGCTCCCTCCCCCCCTCCCCAAGAATGTTCCGCTACGAGGTGAGCCGCCGCGACCGGAAGTGACCCCTCCCTTGCTCCCGCACAAGCCCAGCTCTCTTTCTGTCTGTCTCTCACGCGCGTCGGTCCCGCGCTCTCGGGGGGAGGGGGTGGCCGGGGGGACCCGGGGGACCCCTCGGAGGGCGTCGGTTCTGGGGTCGCGGGTTTCAGCCGCGGGTGGTGAGCCAGCCTCGGGGGGGTGGGGGGGGCGGGACCGCCCAGTCGGCGGCCGGCGGAGAGAGCTGACCTCTGTGTTGGGGTGGGGCGGGCCCGTGAAGTACCGTAACCACACACCCCCCCGCCCCCTCCCCGGAGGGGCGCCGAGGGGAGACCCTTGCTCCCGCAGCCGGTGATTCCTGTGGAGGAGTCACTCGGGAAAGGCCAGAGACGCGTTTCCCGCCCTGGACACGGAAGCGTCTCCTCCTCACAAACGGGCGACCATGAGGTCCCCGGGGCCCGGACTTGCCTTCTGACTGGGGCCGAGGACTGTTGACTGAAGAGGACAGGGGGTTGGGGAGGGGCGTGTCCCGCAGGAGTTCCTGGAGACGTGGGTTGGGGGAAGGTCCCGGGAATGCAGGACCTGTCGAGAGTCTTGGCGCTGTGGCTGACTTGCCGTGTGACCTCTAGCGACTTCTGATCCTTGGACAGGGTTTCTGGGATTTGTAGAACTGACGGTTGGTCTAGGTGATCACTAAGAGCCTCTCCAATTTGAGAAGCAGTGATTTGGTTCGATAGACTTTCGTGATTTGCTAGTTCTTCGAGAAGTTGCTTCTGATGTGGAGGCAGTCGCCTGCTTGTTTCGTGTTGAGTTTGGGAGGACTTAAGATGGGTAGACTGGCCCTTGAACCTAACTTTTCATTTGGGAACAGCCTCGCTGAGAGGTGGTCAGTCAAGGTATATCAGAAATGTGACTGCAGAGAGAGTGTGGAGTCCCGACCCTGAGTCTTTGAAAACTGGACACATAGACCTGCTATTTGATAGGAATGGCTCAAGATCAAACTGGCTTTATGTAAATATGGAGAGAAGTGATGAGATGCAGTAGGCAAAGTTCCCAAGAAAACTTGGAAAGTTAATCAGTTGAGAAGTGAAATGAAGAGCGAGGGAAGGGAGTGTTTAGAACACACCTAGGTTGTAATGGTGATATTTAGCATTGTTTAGCAGTATCCAGTGTTTGTCTAAAACTTAGCCTTCTTTGAGCCTCGCAACACCTCTGAAGGAGATGGTATTGTCCCTGCATTACCACTTAAAAGAGACTGTGGTTTAAAGTCTAACACAGCCTGAGACACAGTAGGTGCTCAGGAAGTATTGAATGAATTAATCAGAAGGTGTGTGGCTTGTCCAGGTTGGCATCACTTGGAGGAGTAGAGATGGAGCTCGAACTGGTCACATCACAGTTTTTCAAGAGTTCACTGTGATTGAAAACTTAGCTTTCTCTTTTACCACCAAAGTTTCAGCCTATAGGAAAACAAAATGGGTGAAGGAAAATGAAGAGAAAGCTTTAAAAGGGATTCTAGTTGAGAATATGACATGAACATGGGGAAGATGAGAATTTAAGTGAAAAATATTAACTCGGGCAAAATAAAGTGTTCATTTTCAGTTGTCATTGTAACCAGTGATGGAAAGGAAGTTGCAGGCCTAATTTCTTGGTTGCATGAGGAAATGCTATTGTTAGAGCCTTGATAAATAGAGAAATGGAAGTTTGGGGGAAGAGGTTAAATAAATAGGAAAGAGAAGTTGAAAGAAAAGGTACTGAATCTTCCAATGTCAGGGAAATTGGGGGATAGAAAAAATGCCATCTGTACAGAAAGTCATAATGAAGCTATTGTGTTGATTGGTAAGGTAAGAAGAACATTTTTAGAACATTTTGAAAATGAAGTTGTGAACTTCCTGAATAACTAATCTTTTTTCTCTCTTTTTTTCTTTTTAGTCTTTGGAGGATTGTCCTCTGGATGAAGATGAAGATGCATTTCAGGGCTTGGGAGAGGAGGACGAAGAGATTGATCAATTCAATGATGATACATTTGGGTCAGGTGCAGTTGGTAAGTGACAGCTTTCTTTTATAATGTCTTGGTCTCCTGCTCTTTTCAAATGCTGTCTTTTATCAGCATGGATACTTTTGTCTTAGCAGGAGTATCCTCATTCACAGAGTTGGCAGACTTCTGTTCTTCACTCCAAGCATCTACCCTGCTCCTCTTGGCTTCTGTTTGCCTCACTTACAAAACCAGGTGTTTCTCTAGCCTTGTCCCTTCCAGTTTTGTGATCTGTGGCCTTCAGTTGACACTATGAGAAAATCACTTGATTAAGGAAGTGCATATTTTATAAAGGCTTAAAATAATCCTAGGAGAAGGAAATATTTTTTCTGGAACATATAACTTAAGGAAAACTAGTGGACTAGAAGAAAACTCAGCTTCAAATATGTATGTTTTAAAATTTAGTTGATCAATAGTATATAGCATGATCCTGCTGTTGTACTGTAGTATATTCAGTAAAATAGAGTTTTTGATTCCAAGAATTTCGGTGATAGAAAGTCTTAATAAGTTAGAAAAGTGCTGTGCACAGATGACATTTTCTCATCCCTGGAGATAGAAAATATTTCGGGAGTTGGAAGAGGTTAAAAAATTAAACAGCCAAACTAAACTAGAGGTCACAGTTATAATTACTGAGATGAGAAATTTAGGGGGCAAGTTTATATGATAAAGTTCGAAAATTGAAATTCTAGAACAAGCATTCTTATAAGTTAAAATTAAACTGTACTTAAAAGATGAATAGGTAAGGGAATTCCCTGGTGGTCCAGTGCTTAAGACTGAACTCTCACTGCTAAGGGCCCGGGGTCCATTTCTGGTTGGAGAACTAAGATCCAGCATGTGCGAGGCCAAAATAGAGAGATGCAGCTGTCCTTTGCTTTGACTGATGGTGTTGAAAAACAACAATGACCACATTTACCCTGGGATGTGTGAATATGTGGAGTTTCCTTGAACTCTGTCTAAGCAACAAATATTCAAACTTAAGTAATAAGGAAGAAGAAGAGTAAACTTATCAGTATGGGATAACCCCAAAATGTTGAATATCAAAAGCAAACAAGAGGTCTTTAAAAAATATCGTATTAGTTACTGGTTTTGCAGTGACCAAAATGGCTTAAGTTTGTTTAAGCTTAGACCGAGTTGAGTGAACTGGCAAAAATGAAAAAATGTTCTCTGTTCAGTCAGGGTTTACAGAATTCACTGGAGAGCTAAAGCTGCTGCTTTTGGGAGCAGCAAGAGAAGTATTTAAAGTAGAAGCAAGGCTCATTACAACAGGGAACTGAAGACCTTTTGGATTACAGCCATAATTTAAGGGATGAGCTCATCCAAGAGGATGACATGATCTAAGATGCTGTTCTTTCTCCATGGAGATCACAGGGAAGGGGAGGAAGAACAGAGAATGACAAAAGCAGGGAACTGATGGGAATTGAAGATTATACTTGAAACTTTAGTGAAAACCTAAAGACCACGATAAAGCTACAAACAAGTGTGTGCTTGCTTCTGGAACTCTTTCTCTCTTAATATATTGTAGTGAATGTTACCATTTTGTAGCAAATTAGTCTGTATTAAAATGAAGTATATTAAGATGAAATATAGTAAATGTTCTCAGTTTTGAACCTGGACAGGAGAGAAATGGTCTTGCCTTCTCCCTGACCTCCAGAGTGCTTGACAGTTTTTTTTCCTGAATTTCTGTGTTTCTCCCAAGATAAGGAAAGTATTGCCTTAAAAGTATTTTAAAGTATGCAGAATTGTATTTTATGGGATGGAAAACCGAAAAGTGCACACACATTGAAAAAGCCCCTAGGGTTACACAGTAAAACAGGTGGTAAGAAGTAAGAGCAGTGAAATAGCATGTGGGTATCCCATTTTTGTACCCTGAGGCACAAGGATGATTAAGGACTTCTTGGTCTACAGAGTCCATAGTGGAGAAAAGATTTCCAAATGTGAGCCCTTAACATTGAGACAATTGTAAGGTTAAAATCCTAGTTCCTCCTAACACCTTGATATAAATAGTATACAGATTTATAAAAAGAAAAGTTTTTTCTAAGTCCACCTGTGACTTGTTCAATATATTTCCATAGGTGGGTAGAGAATTTAAACAAGAAGGTAGAATGTTAGACCTGTGATACATGGTTTGACTTGATGGATTTTAACTCAAGGAGTGAGTATCTGGAGTAGGACCTGTTAATACAGTAGTTATTTTAAGTCACTGGCTACAAATGCTCTGATGTCACCTTTCTGTAAGAAACTAGTCAGTGTCTTTGCATGGAAAAAAACATTTGCATCATCTTTGAGCAATAAATGTGCCACAGTAACTTCAACTCATTCTCTAAAAATGAAAGCTTACACTTCCAAGGTGCTTATTATATGCTCGGGACCATTCTAAATGTTTTACATATATTATTAATCCTCATAGCAATCTTATGAGGTAGGTACTATTATTATCATCATTTTAGCCAATGAAGAAGGAAAGTGCCAGAGAGGTTAAGTAACTATAAATACAATCAGTGTAAACTACAAGTTATGTTTTAACAGTCTTTGGGGAATCCTTGGAAATCTTCTGACTCCACGTGGAAGGATCCTCATTCTTTCTTCCTCCTTTTTACTGATAGCTGCTGAAATCTTTATAGAGACTGAGATTGCTCTAAAATTAAATTAACTCTGTTTCCTCTTTATTTTGTTTTTATTCAGATATATCCCTGAGACAAATTTGAAGGGAACTACCACAACAAGTACGTGTTTATAAAAGCAGACAGGGTTTTAGTAACTCACATCTGCGTATAGGTTAATTTTTTTAAACATTTGTGTTTATTTGGCTGTACTGAGTCTTAGTTGTGTCACATGAGAATCTTCATTGTGGCAGGTGGGATCTAGTTCCCTGACCAGGGGTTGAACCAGGGCTGTCTGCATTGGGAGCACAGAGTCTTAGCCATTGGACCACCAGGGAAGTCCCAGAGTATAGGTTAATTAGTTGAAGGAAAATAGGTATCTCTTTCACTTCATTTCTCTTGTTATTTTTTTCTCCTACCCTTTATCATTTTGATGAGCATGGGTTGAGGTCAAACAAACAAGGGCATGTGTAAGTAACTCTTTTTCAGTCATTCGAAGAAGATACAGAGTGAAGTGTCCTTTTACACCAAGGACATGTGTGGTCTCTGGCATTGCTTCAGGTGATTTTTCACAAAACAGATACCTAAAATGACAACCGTGGTGTTCTGTGGCTTAGAGTTCTTTACTTACATGTTTGAAAAAGTAACAGTTCACAACAGAGCCTTTCTTACAGAATATGGCTGCTAATCAGTGTTTCTTAAATTAATTAGTAAGGCCAAGTAGATCATCATCTTTGATGAGACATATAGTAAAGTTAGTAAACAAGATTATGGGACGTGAATGGAAACTCTGCTGCACTAGAATTGACCCATTAACAAAGCAGTCTCTTCCACTTGGGTAATAAAGGCTTGAATCCCACAGTTCAGGGTTGTGGACTCTCCCCCCTTTGGCATTGTTGAGCCGGTAGGGTGGGAAAGCAGGTGGTCCTTCAGAGCATGCTTGGGTTACTCTTCTCTAGCGACGACGGCACAGAATATTAATGTCACAATTGATTTCTGATTATCTATTCTTTTTTAATAACTGATGGTTTAGTACTGTAAATTTTCATCTAGACTATATTTTTCCTTTACTGTACATAGTACATTCAAATCTACCACAGTGCTCCAAGACTACACAGTGGTTCTGGTCGTATCAGATTGTAAACTTGGAAATCCCACTTAACCCTGTTTTTATCAGTAGTTACATGTTTCTGCTTTTAAAAATTTAACATTCTTGAAGAATTGTGGGGAAGTTTCACGAAGTTACATATTTGTATAATGTTTAAATTTTTTTAGCAAACATGTATTGTAAACAGGAAAAAAGAGTAAAGATACTTGTAACAAGTTGCATATGAAAGTCTGAGTCTTTTTTTGAAGTAACTATCATTTATTACACCCTGAGTATATACCAGACACTTTTTTTTTCTTTGCATGTTGTTTCCAGTCCTTCTCCTTTCTTTAAATGAGACACATAGAAAAATTAAGTGGGGAGGATTGTCATGAAGGACCATTTGTCAGAATCCTGTGTTGCGATGTTAGTTACAAAGAGAATTACCTATTGTCTCTATGTTGGATTTTGCATAACATACAAAACTAAAATAAGAAAAATACGTAACTTATGCAAGTTGGTGGGTTAGGTGAGGCGATGGTAAGAATTAGAAGATTATTCAGAGAAGGCGTCAGTGCGGAGGGAAGGACAGGTATCTGGGTTTGAACGCTGAAAGGAGCGGAATAGTAGCGCTTTTACGATGGAGGTAAGAGGGAAGGATGAGTGATGTGGATAAGGAGCCTGCAATAAGAGAAGTGATGGAGGTGAGGTCTAGTTCTAGAGAAGCTGATAAAGGCTTCTGAAGATTTTCATCTGCGAAATGATGCTCTGTCAGCATAAACAATGAGAAAATAGCTTAGTATCAGTGATACAGACTCTATAGTAGTGTGCAGAAATGGAGACAGTTAAAGAAGAAGGCCAACCCTCACCTTTCCCCTGGGCGTACTTGGAGTAGCCTCCTAACAGACCTCCATGCTTTCCGTAGTGTGACCCCCTTCTCCCCAAATCTGTTCTCAGCACATCAGCCAGATCGATTCTTTCAGCAAGTCCAGCCACATCCTGACCTCCAGGGGCCCCATTTCAGAGCAGTTCTAAAGGACCTTTGAGAGTTCCTTCTGATCTGCGCTGACCTCATTTTTCTTCTACTCTTCACCCTTGTTTGTTCCAGTCCAAATGCAGTCCTTGCTTCTGAAAATTGTCAGTCTCCCATCCTAAGTCCTCTATACTGACCATCCTCTGCCTGAGACACTCTTCCCCTAGATATCCACATGGCTATCTTCTTAACTCTTGAATTTTTGCTCAAATGTCACTTTCCTTGTCTGTTTCTTATGGCGATGTATGCCATGCACCTAGAACAGTGTTTGTCACATAATAGATGCTCAAAACACACTAATTGGATGAAATTAATGGATTTAAAAGCTTGTAAAGAAGGTGACAGTTATCTAAGAGAAAGTTGTATGCTAGCATGAGTTTTTGCCTAAAATGTCACAGAATCTCAAACCCACAGGTGTAGTATATGTATATATCACCAATTTAGAAATCAGTTTCAGAATATAATCTAGATGCCATTGCTAATGTATTAATCTATTACTCAAAACATTTGAATATTATTCCTGATAGGATGTTTGTTCTCAGTAGTGAGAAGCCCACTTTAAATGCACCCCCTTACTTTAAACCTTATTTCATGTGTCTAGGTGGAAATTTAACTTCCCACCTGTCTTCTGGAGTTGAAATTGTTTATTTGGTTAATAGAAGAATTTCATGAAACTTTTTATTCCAATATGAACTCTTGTTTCTTTTTCTGATTTCCTTGTAGATGATGATTGGCAAGAAGCACATGAGCGCCTGGCTGAACTGGAGGAGAAGCTGCCTGCAGCAGCTAATGAACAAACCGGCAATGGGGAAAGGGATGAGATGGACTTGTTGGGTGACCATGAGGAAAATCTGGCAGAGAGGCTCAGTAAGATGGTGATTGAAAATGAACTCGAAGACCCAGCTATCATGAGGGCGGTACAGACCAGGCCAGTGTTGCAAGTAAGTGGCTGCGAGCTGGAGCAGACTAGTAATTGAAGCAGAGTGTTGGGCTTTGCTATTGCAATTTCTGGGTGTTCATTGGAAGGACTGATGCTGAAGCTGAAACTCCAGTACTTTGGCCACCTCATGCGAAAAGTTGACTCATTGGAAAAGACCCTGATGCTGGGAGGGATTGGGGGCAGGAGGAGAAGGGGACGACAGAGGATGAGATGGCTGGATGGCATCACCGACTCGATGGGCATGAGTTTGAGTAGACTCTGGGAGCTGGTGATGGACAGGGAGGCCTGGCGTGCTGCGATTCATGGGGTCGCAAAGAGTCGGACACGACTGAGTGACTGAACTGAACTGAACTGATTGCTATTTGATTTCATTTATTATACTGAGAGAATTACACGTGCCATAGAAATTTGGTGATATTATTCCTTATGATAGCAATTCTGGAGATGAAGTTGGGATATAAGGTATTTTCTAGAATGCTATATAGGGGCTCCCTTGGTGGCTCAGATGGTAAAGTGTCTGCCTGCAATGCGGGAGACCCGGATTTGATCCCTGGGTGGGGAAGATCCCCTGGAGAAGGAAATGGCAACCCACTCCACTATTCTTGCCTGGAAAATCCCATGGACAGAGGAGCCTGGTGGGCTACAGTCCATGGGGTCGCAGACTCGGACACGACTGAGTGACTTCACTTTCTCTTTCACAGAATGCTATAGTTTATTTATCTTGAACAGTTGCAGCTCTTTGGGAGCTTTGTTCACCACAAACTGGTAAGTTGCCCAGAGAGCCTGCACTATTCCACACTGTGTGTGTGTTTTTCCTTTCTTGCTAGCCCCAACCAGGAAGTCTGAATTCCAGCATCTGGGATGGATCTGAAGTTCTGAGGCGAATCCGAGGACCCCTGCTTGCTCAGGTATTAGACGTTTTTCATTATATAAAATTCCTAGCATCCGCAGCCTGGCTCCTGTTGTTACCCCACCACCCCTTGCTGGGGCGATGTATAGATGTGTGCTCCCTGCTGGCCTCGTGTTGATCTCACCATCCAGCAGCCACAGCTGAGCCTCAGACTCCATGGTAATGCGCACTTGGTTGTGCTTTCCTTGGAAATGGTTGAAAGGGAGCCGTTGGAACTTGAAAATTTTGGCAGCTTATGATCTCAATTTCAATTAAAGTCATTTTAGGGGCTTCCCAGGTGACGCTAGTGATAAAGAATCTGCCTGCAGTGCAGAAGTTGGAAGAGGCATGGGTTCTATCCCTGGGCCAGGAAGATCCCCTGGAGTAGGAAATGGCAGCTCACTTGAGTATTCTTGCCTGGAATACATGGACAGAGGAACCTGGCAGGCTACAGTCCACAGGGCCGCAGAGAGTTGGACTCAACCAAGCGACTGAACACACACGCAGTCATTTTTAGGCACAACTGTCAGGACAGAACAGATTGATGTTTGCAGTGGTTGAGGGTAATGGGAGACTTAGACTACAAAGGGACAGTACTGAGGAAGTTTGGGGAGTGATAAAACTTCTGTGTCTTGATTTTGGTGGTAGGTCCAGGACTCAGTACATTTATCAGAATTTATTTCTTTACGCCACAGAGGGTAAATTTTACTGGATGTGAAATGAAACTAAATAGAAATTTTAAAGATAATTTCTCAAGGTATTGGGCATCTGTAAAGGTGATTAAGAGATTTCAAGCTAGCTAATTTTTTTAACACTACTTCCTCAATTAGGAAATGCCTACAGTGTCTGTGTTAGAATATGCCTTGCCTCAGAGGCCCCCCCAGGGCCCAGAAGACGATCGGGACCTTTCCGAGCGCGCACTACCAAGGCGGTCCACCTCGCCTGTCATTGGGAGTCCTCCTGTTAGAGCTGTCCCCATAGGCACCCCACCTAAGCAGGTGGCTGTGCCCAGCTTCAACCAGCAGGTACCTCTCATCCACAGGCACTCAGCCCAGGATACTGGGAATCTGGGCAAAATTCTTTGGGAAATGTGCTACTGGGAGGAGGGTGGAAGTGTGGGGTAGGCATTAGATTAGAAAGAAAAATAGCCAATTAGTGGAGAAGTTAGCACAAATAAGAGACACATTCCCCAATGCCCTTTGCTGGTGCTGCTCCTGTTGCTGCTGCCTTTTCATTGGGGGAGAAAAAGGGTAGTTAACCACATTTAGCGTAAATATCCTTTTTAAAGTGTTTTGCTGGCTGCCCACAACCTTGGCAGAGAGGTGGCTGAAAGCTGGGGGGAGTGGGAACACAGAGCATTGTCCACATCCCTTTTTACCTTTAAGATATCCCTGCTTTCCCTAGAGCCTGTGCAGTCCTGTTCCATAGACTTCCCTCCACCTGAAACCAGCAGCTGGAAAGGAAGGCCAATGTGGAAGGTATGGGGGGAGGGTGGTATTGGTATGGCCTAGTTAGGCTCAATATCCTCTGAAATGGTGGAGTCACAGTGGACACGAAAGAGCTGAGCATGGCGGCCATATCACAGGGGCTTCAGAATAGGACTTAGTTAATCCTCCAGCTTTCTTATCATTCCATCTCCCTCACTGCTACCAAAACATATCCTCTTGGAGAGAATTTGCAAGTCAGAATATCTGCTGGTACCTCCCTCAGATAGCATGGAAGGGTGGGGATAACTGGAGAATTAGCTAAATCTTCCTCAGTTAAAAAGTGGCACGTTGCTTGATATTTGTGAGAGGAAGTGACTGAAGGTTCTACATGTGGACCAGAGCCATAGCAGTTTGCTTAGAAGTAGGGCTTCGCATTGAGTTCTGTGTCTCTGCCAGTGCTCGAGGGGAGGGAGTATAGGTGGAGGAAAAACTGACTTCACTGAGTGTAGTTGTATGTATGTTTGTCCTCGTAGATTCTGTGTCCAAAGCCTGTCCATGTTCGGCCCCCAATGCCACCGCGGTACCCTGCTCCCTATGGTGAGAGGATGTCTCCAAACCAGCTCTGCAGTGTCCCGGTATGTTACTCTGCAACCTAGTGAAGACGTGCAGTGTGCATTTCCCTATCAGTGCCTGGTGTATCGATACCTCCCAAATGATACATGTTTTTCATAATCTCCATACTTGAATTTCTGGATCTTAAGAGTCCCCAGGTTAGGAGACATGGTTCATCGTGTTCAGCTATTTCTTACCTCAGCTCATTTCGTATCTTTAAAGATCTAAACTTGATATGATCTGGTTTCGTGCTATTACAGTCCTTCTTTCTACTGCTTTCTTTTTAACGTTACATAATCCTAGTGCTTCATGACTTCTAGCATTACTCTCTTACATTCCTTCAGTGGACAGCTCAGCTCCACCCTTTGAGAGTTTTCCTGTCCACGTCTATTCTGCATTTCTATTGAGTTCCCCTGTTATTTCCCTGTTTTTATGGTATGACTCTAATGTTTTCTATTTTCCCTTTTTTTTTTTTAAGAACTCCTCCCTGCTGGGCCACCCTTTCCCACCTAGTGTCCCTCCTGTCCTCAGCCCCCTCCAGAGAGCACAGCTTCTTGGAGGAGCGCAGGTAAGCCTAGGATTAGCTCAGCCCGTCAAGAGCTCGCCTTACCCTCCTAAGGTTCACTAGCTCACATGCCCCCCCCCACCCCCCGCCGCTTTTCTTTTTTGCTACTAGTCAATTCCTACTGCCTCTTCTTTTCTTCCCCCCATTACTTTCTCAAAGTTACGGATGGAAGCAGTATTCACTATTCTATGGATGAAAGTAAGGGGACCTGCCAGTCAACTAAATCCAAGATCTTGTTCTTCTTGCAGCTACAGCCTGGACGGATGTCTCCCAGCCAGTTTGCACGGGTCCCTGGATTCGTGGGCAGCCCGCTTGCTGCCATGAATCCCAAGCTGTTGCAAGGGCGAGTCGGGCAGATGCTCCCCCCAGCGCCAGGCTTCCGCGCCTTCTTCAGCGCCCCACCCCCCGCTACACCACCACCTCCACAGCAGCACCCCGCCGGTCCAGGACCCCACCTGCAAAACCTAAGGTATACAGAAAGTGCCGCTGTCTGTTCCTTATCAGCTGAGCATCTTGATCGTTGACATTTAGTGGTAGAAGGTAGAAGTCTCTTTGCTATTTTCACATGATGTATTTTGAGATGTTATTTGATCCTCAAGTTGCCAAACACAGAAATGTTTGATGGTCTCCAAGCTTTCATATGAATCACATTTCCCTCGAGTCACGTGCTTCCTGGGCTTGCCAGGTGGCTCAGTGATAAAGAACTGCCTGCTAGTGCTGGAGAGGTGGGTTCCATCCCTGGATCGGCAGGATCCCCTGGAGAAGGAAATGGCGACCCCTCCAGGATTCTTGTCTGGGAAGTCCCAGGGACAGAGGAGCCTGATGGGCTGTAGTCCTTGGGGTCGCAAAGAGTCGGACACAACTGAGCAACTAAACAACAGCAAGATGCTTCCTGCTTACATTTGCACATTAGTCACCTTTTTCATTTCTTCTAAAGTTTCTTATGTCTCACGTATCCATTTGACACACACACACATAACATGCACAGAGTGCTTCTCACTTAACAAGAATGGTCTTAGGCTAAGGAGCAGAGCGGGAAGTCCCTGACAGTCCTGTGGTTAGGACTCAATGCTTTCACTGCCATGGCCCAGGTTCAGTCAGGGGAACTGAGATCATGCAGCCAAAAAAAAAAGGAACAGAGATATGGATGCTGAGTTGTCAGCTAATCAAAGTGCTTAGCTACTTCTTTGCTTCCACTGCGATTTTACAATAAGAGAGGTTTAAGTTCCTTCTTCACTAAAATTGTGTTTTTTATATATCACATTGTCTCAGGGTTCTCCTGAGAAGCAAAACCAATAGGGTATACATAAATAAAGAAAAAAAATTTAGAAAAAAGAAAAAAAAAGAAAAAGATTTACTCTAAGGCATTGGCTTACATGATTGTGGGGTTAGGAAGTCCAAAATCCATAGGGCAGGCCAGCAGGCTGGACATTCTGTTAGGAGTTGTGGTTGCAACCTGAGGTCTGAATTTGTAGGGCAGGTGAGCAGGCTGGAAACTCAGTCAGGCCTTCCCATGTTCCAGTCTTGAGGCAAGATTCCTTCTCTGGGAAACTAGTTTTCCTTTTAGGGCCTTCAACTGATTGCCAAGGCCCAGCCACATTATCTAGGGCCATCTCTCTTATTTCTTAAAGTTAGCTAATTGTAAATGTTAATAGCATCTACAAAATACCATCACAGCAATATCTAGATGAGTGACTGTCCAAACAATTGGGTATCTTAGATAAGTTGACATATTAAATTAACCATCACATGTATATTTTCAGTGTCATTTCCAAATGTGAATTTGAGTACATTAAAGAGACTTCTCTAACAGTTAGGAGCAAAGAGAATTAAACTAGCTTACTGCTGGTTTACTCAGGTTTTATGATTGTCTTCTTAGGAGTTGAGAATTGTCTTTTGTGGAAGACATAAAAATACAGTTATGTCTTCCTTCTGAAAGATCTTCTTAGAGTAGACACCAGCATTCCCTTGGGTGAACCTGTGTGAAGTAATCCAGTGTTGACCACAGTCTTTAAAACTTCAGGTCTTCAGAAGGACAGAACTGAACATCTTTCCCTTTTTCCTTAGATCACAGGCCCCAATGTTTAGACCAGACACAACCCACCTTCATCCACAGCATCGTCGACTCTTGCATCAGAGACAGCAACAGAGTAGAAAGTAAGTACTTTACCTCCTCTCTTGTGGTTTCTTAATTTAGGTTTCATTTTTGACCGATTTAGCTTGCTTTTTAAGTAAATTTAATCAATATTGAGCTTATTTCAACTGGCTAAGTCAGATCATATGTGCTGTTTTATGTTTTTAATGCACAAGCTTTGAATGACTAGAGCTTATCAACTTATTTCCAAGTTAACAAAATTCTGAAATGCAGATCTGGAGTGGGGGGTGGTCAACACACTATACTCACTGCTTACCAAGTTCTTCCTATACTTTTAACTGCATTTTGTTTACCATCTCGGCTCAGAGGTGGTCTTGAAGTATAGTCTCTAGCATTATGTTTGGGTTTTATGTAAAGCCAGCGGTCACTTTATTTTTGCCTCTGTTTAATCCTCATTCAAATATATATTTATATATGTGGCCCCAGCTATGTACCAGCTACTGTGGTCAGTTTGGGGGATTGAAACAACAAGACATACCAAACCCTTGCTTTCATGGAGCTTATATTTTATCATCATTCTTATACATAAGAGAATTAAACATAACTTTGAAGTTTTCTCAGCCTTCCCTTTTATGGTTCTTTGTGTATAATTTCCTTTTTCTTCCAAAAAAAATTACGGAATATTTTTTGCAGAGGTAAAAACTAGTATGGGCCTTTAAGACACAAAAAATACAAACCATAAAGGAAAAGATTGATAATGTATTTGATTGTTAAAATACGAAACTTCTCAGGCCTGCAGTTGACATTATAGTATTGTGCATTTCAGAATTTAAAAGGGTAGATCTCAAGTTAAGTATCTTACCCCCCACCCCCAAAAAAGGGAAGAACAAAGAGACCCAAGGAGTGGGTGTATATGTCTAGTGCCTCGTTGATGATGATGGCATCACAAGTGTGTATGTGTCCAGACTTACCAGTTTGTATACATTAAATTGTACGGTTCTTTGTACAGCAGTTATCACTGAATAAAGGTGTTTACAGATATTTTTAATGAAATTGTAAAAATATATTAAACTTCCATATAACAAAAGGCATCAAACACAAGTGTGCAGTTTTTCAATAGAGGAAACCTACATGTTTCATAAAAACCAAAAGATTTTTAGGCTTACTTATAATCAGAAGAGTGCAGATTGAAATTAGATAACCATTTTATATCCTCAGCAAAACATGAAGTGTCTCAACACTGTCGTTGTTAGCAGGAATGGAGTATACAGAGCCTTTGGAGAGAGCATTTGGCAATAAACAATAATGTTGACAATGTAGATGCATCGAATCCTAGCAGTTTTACTTCTCAGAATATACCTGGGTACATTACCAGTGTGGACAAGCATGAAACACACAATGCTGAATGAGAACCAAGGAGCAGAACTGTATGCCTGAGACCATTTATGTAAACTGGGGCACTACTGTATAATATTTAAAGGTGGATGTTCAGGTAATAAAAGCATAAAGATATTTCATGAAGGGTATGTGTCAAAGTCAGGAGAGTGGTTCCTACAGGAAGGAAGGGAAGCTGCAAACTGGGATCTCAAGGGCTGTAGGTGGGCCTTCAACTGTAAACATAGCACTGTATTATTACTTTAATATTACTTTTTAAAAATCTGAAGCAAATTTGACCCAGTAATTTTTTCATTAAGTCCAAATTGTGAATAAATGGATTTTTGGATAAGCTTTGCTGGACTTTCCTGTTTAAAGTATATCATAATTTTCGACATGTTTTGAGAAGTATGTAGACGTGGCTTCAAGTTGGCCTGTGGTCAGACCTCACTGCTGCCAGGTGTGCTGCTTTGGGCAAGTTGCCTGATCTCTTCTGAGCTCAGTTTATTGTCTTAAGTGGGGCAAATAAACCTACGAACCTCATAGGGTTATTGTGGGGGTTACACACAAGTCAGGTGAAAGTGCTTAGCTAATGGTAAGGCACTCAGATCATAGTCTAGTCCTCTGATTATGTATTGCATAGCTCTTTGCTCTCAAATTCTGTTAAGATTCTATTCTTTTTCACTCCTCTTTTAATAAAACAAAGGGGAATCTTTTTTTTTTTTTAAGTTGGCCTGTTTTACTCCAGTATTGTTACAAGACGTAATTCATGTATCCACTTGGAGTGCATGTGGCCTTATTTCTTTACCAGTCAGCATCGGAATCTCAATGGTGCAGGAGACAGAGGGGGTCACCGGAGCAGTCATCAGGATCATATCCGAAAGGATCCATATGCCAACCTCATGCTGCAGCGAGAAAAAGACTGGGTCTCTAAAATCCAGATGATGCAGCTGCAGAGCACTGATCCCTACCTGGATGATTTTTATTACCAGGTATGTCCTCTGTGCCGTTGGAAAGATAACTTTAGTCGCTCACCCTGGTGAAGGTACCCATTTAAATACTGGGAGAATTTTCTTCTGAGGTAGTCTTCAAGTGAGTCAGAATTCTGTCCCGGTTTTCAAGCTAAAGAATCGCAATATTCACTGAGAGGTTTCATATATGCCTTTTATTTCTAAACTGTAGAAACTCTCAAACCAATATTTTCAAATCTTTTTGGCATCAATAATGTGGTTCTTAAATTAAGAATTTTGGCAGTCTAATGATATTTTCATTGATGCTAATTTTGAAGGCTGGGATTTTTTGATAAAGTAAATTCTTGGCAATCTAAGAAAAGTTAAACACGAATACGTTTATAGAGCATGAGTAGTATTGCTGCCACTGGTATAGATCGTCTCGTGGTGAAGAGCAGCCACATTCTGTGCTTGCTGCAACTGAAATCATCTTCTTATGTGGTAGAATTACTTTGAAAAACTGGAGAAACTGTCAGCTGCTGAAGAAGTGCAAGGTGATGGCCCGAAAAAGGAGCGTACCAAGCTCATCACGCCTCAGGTGGCCAAGCTGGAGCACACCTACAAGCCAGGTGAGGTCCCTGTCCCCACACCTACAATGGACAGATGCGCTGTGCTGCTGGTAGAATAGCAGCAGCTGTGCAGATGATGGGGTGGAGAGGTTTGAAACTGATATGCAAGGTACCGTTGTCCTTGACAGATGCAGAGGTCCGCCGTATTCAAGTACGGAGTGAGTAGCTTGACAGATGGCCCTTTAAGTCCATTTATGCTTGAGATTCCATGACTTTTTAAAATGTTATAATTTCTAGTATCCCTAAAATGGCTAAGGGGAAGATATTTCAGACTTTTTATTATTATAACCAAAAAACAAAAAATGGGAAAGGATAGATTTTGATAAGAGATTGCCTTAGATAATACATTGATTTTTATAGTAAATTTTTAGGTCCTGAGTAAAGACTAGAGAACATAGGACCTCCCTGGCAGTCTAGTGGTTATGACTCTGTGCTTCCACTGCAGGGGGCTTGAGTTCCACCCCTGGTCAGGGGAACTAAAATCCCCACATGCAACACAGTGGGGCTTCCCTGGAGGCTCAGTAGTAGAGAACCATCTACCAGTGCGAGGGACAGAGGAGATGCGGGCTGATTCCCTGGGTCAGGAAGATCCCCTGGAGAAGGAAGTGGCAGCCTGCTTCGGTATTCTTGCCTGGGAAATCACACGGACAGAGGAGCCTGGCGGGCTGCAGTCCATGGGGTCATAAAGAGTCAGACACGACTCAGCGACTGAAACAACTGGCCACGCAGTGGGGCCAGAAGAGAGAGACTGCAGTGGTCTTTGAATGTTGTCTGCCTGCGCTGCTGGGTTTTTACTTGTTGGCAACTTTTTGTCCTTGCAGTGCAGTTTGAGGGCTCTTTGGGAAAGCTCACTGTCTCTAGTGTGAATAATCCCCGAAAAATGATTGATGCTGTTGTGACATCTCGGAGTGAGGATGATGTAAGTAGCCACAGAACTGTGTGTTTAAGGAAGTCTGGGTCAGCACTGCTTCTTCAAGGGTCCCTGGGTTGAAATTCCAAGGCAGCCAGGCAGGACCTGGGGTGGCAGGAGCCTTTGAACTGGGTAACCCTGGCTACAAACAGCATTAGCTGTTTATTCCAGTTTTTTAAAACTACCATTTTCTATGTGTTTAAGATTTTCCTATGATATCTTCGGTTTCCATTGCATTCTCCAGTACCTTTTGCTTAGCTATGAATTTAGTTAATAGTTTATGTGTGGGTTTATTCAGTCAACTCTGTGACCTTTGTCCACGTTACTTTTGTTTGGTTATTAATCCTCACAGTACTGTCACAAATAGAATTACCTATAGAATTTACCAGCAGTAAATTATTCTTAACATGGTTAAAGAGTTCATATTAAAAAGTCTTGTCTTTTTTTTAGGAGACAAAAGAAAAACAGGTTCGGGACAAAAGACGAAAAACCCTTTTCATAATTGAGAAAGTAAGTTTTAGCATTGCTAAAGTTGCTGTAGTTAGTTTCAGTTAAGCAAACTGTGAAATGTATGTGTACGCAGCACGTGGGAAAGTAAGCAATCGGTTAGTGTCCTGTGATTTTAATTAATGTACATGTCTGTGTAAAGTGCCTGTTGTGTACAGTGCATGCTGGAAAGGAATGTGGTTTACCTCACCTATGGCCTCATGGAGAAGGCACTGCAGTTACAATTCGAAGTCCTGGGGTTTTGTCCAAGCTTGTTCAGTTAACGGCTCAGTGTTTTAGGGCAGAGCATCTTTCTAAGAAAACGAAAAGAAAAATTGCACTGTTCTGCCTGTGAATCGATTGTCTGTTCAGTCAGTTCATGTATATTTATTGACCATTCCCTGAGTGCTGGGCGCTGTCCTGGGTTCTAAGGAAAATCAGTAGTAGGCAGTTAGTGTTGAAGCATAAGACACCATGTTTTGGGGCATGAGTATAGGAGTTAAGAGCACAGACTCTGAGAACAGGCTCCAAATCATGTCTTAGTCATTTCTCACCAAGTCTGTGACTTGAGGCAGGTTATTTAACATTTCTGTGCTGTCCTTGGTTTCTTTACCTTTAAAAATGAAAGTGGTAAGAGTCTGTTTCTCACTGGGCTGTGGTGAGCATCCCGTGAGTGAGTGTTTGCACAGTGCTTGGACAGGGCCTGGGACCCTGTAGTCAAGCTAGCTGTCACCGCTTTTACAGACAGAGGGCGTCACTGGTTGCCGTGGTTCCCGTCGTTTACATCACTAACGCTGCTGCTGCTGCTGCTGGAAAGTTTGGAAAGTGGTCAAGAAGGGACAGGGAATCTACCCAAAGAATTTTTTTTTTTAAGTTGTTTCACTATTTTTTTCTGGGTTTAAAAGAGCAAGTTTTTCCCCTCTGATTCTTATTTCTGTGGGCTCTCACTCTTGTGTTGTTACCTGGTCATCCTGAACTGCGAAGTTGTTTACCTAATGCTCTGAGTTGCTGAGGCCTGCTGTGTCTCTCACTTAGACCTACAGTTTACTGCTTGATGTGGAGGATTATGAAAGGCGTTACCTCCTAAGTCTGGAAGAAGAGCGACCTGCCCTGATGGATGAAAGAAAGCACAAAATCTGTTGCATGTATGAGAACTTAAGGGGGAAATTGCCTGGGCAGGAGAGGTAAGAATTGTGTCTTTTGGTAAAAACATCAGTCTCGCTAGATTCCTTTGAGCTTTATACATTCTGCCCTCACCCTTCCTGACCATTGCAGTAAGCTCAGAGTCTTTCCTTTTGGCCTAACTCAGATGCCACCCCATATAAAACATTTTAGAATCCTTTAGAGCCGGCGGAGGGGGGAGGCGGGGGGAATCTATGTATCTCGAATTCATTTATTTAGCAAGTACCTCTTCAGTATCTATTAGGAACGATGCTGGACACTGGAGACAGTGGGAAACATTATTTAGTTTCTTTTGTTGAGCTTACAGATTGAATCTAGTTTATGCTTACTAATGTTCAACCATGTAATCTTTATGTATTTTCTTTCCTACTAAGATGGAAAGTGTAAACATTCATACTTTCTTGGGATTACCATACAGTTCTTATTTGCTATGGAAGCCGATCAGTCTTCTAGTGGAGACTAAGCTCCTTAGTGTAATTTCTCTGTCTTTTTGTCATCTCTCTCCCACCCAGTATCTGGAATACAGTGTTGCCAATGGTAAATGTTCTATAAATCACAATATTTATTTGATGAATGCAAGAGGACGCTCCCTTTGTCTTTGTCCATTCAAGAGAATTGATGATTCTTTTAAGCCAGGACATACACAAAACAAAACTTTTTGCAAAGGACCTTCTTTTTAGCACATCTTTTCAGGGTTGGACTGACAGGGAGCTTGGTCAATAAATCTGGGTTTCTCCATAGATTGCACTGTTATGCAGCCAGTAAAATCTGTGTAAAGTATTATTTATTGCCATGGAAAAGTGTTCATAAGTTGAGTAAAAAAAACAAGTAACAAGCCATATAAATTATATGGGTTCCCCCCCTTTTTAAAAAATGAAAGATAAAAATATACACAACAGAAATGTCTTCAAAATGATAACACTAGTACATTATCTCTGAGATTATGAATATTATTTTTTATATATATTTTCAGATTTTGTTGTTTTAACCATGTCATTTGTGTAGTTACTTGAAAGTTAATAAAGGAAATCAATGCCTATAGTTTGATTAGTTTTTTTAATGTACAAGTGTTGAAATGATTTTCAGTATTCATGAAACTCGAATTTACTTTTTATTATTTGGCTGAGAGTTAGTAAAGTAATTCTCACTGTTTTGTAGTACAGATCATTGCAGAGAGAAAATGAATGCAATGTGTTCATCTAGTAACATGTGAGAGGAGAAAGTGGGTTTTTACATTGTTCTTGCTGACTTAAGCTGTCCCCCGCAGGCCAAGTGATGACCACTTTGTACAGATCATGTGTATCCGGAAGGGGAAGAGAATGGTGGCCCGGATCCTGCCTTTCCTCCCCACGGAGCAAGCAGCTGACCTTCTCCTGACAACAGCCAGGAACCTCCCCTTCCTCCTCAAGAAGGACGCGCAGGATGAGGTGACCCGCGCGCGGGGGGCTGCTTTCCTTTGGGCTTCACAGTGGAGAAGACTGCTAGAAGCCAGACTTCTTATTTGCCTCCTTTCCCCTTTTGTGTTCTTTTACCTAATCTTTGGCTCAATGATTTGAGTATTTAAAGCAAAAACTTTACTCCTTTGTATTTTTAATGCCACATCTTTATCCAACAGACCATGTTCCTAAATGTGAGGAAGCAGTAATTCCATCTTATCTGACACAGTTGTTAAGCTGTGATCTGTATCAGAACTGCTTTGGAAGCAAATAGTTCAGCCTTATCTGACTTGCTGAATCGGTATTTACAGAGAGATCAGGCCCCGAGCTGGGTCTGACCACTCATTATTTGCAGTTTATGATCTTGGTTACCTTGCTGGATATAAAGCATCATTCATGGGCTGTTATTAGTGGCTTAACACTGACCTGTAGACTTACTTGAATGGTGTCCCACAGGAATTGGGCCAGTGCTTTTAAGCAGTTTAAACTGGGCTAGAATTTGTGGGTTTTATTTTATTATTAGTAGTAGTGTTTTAAATTTTATTTATTTTTGACTGTGCTGGGTCTTTGTCGCTGCATGGGCGTTCCTCGAGTGGCGGCAAGCAGGGCCGCTCTGGTTACGGTGCTCGGGCTTCTCTGGTTGCGGAGCACAGGCTCTCAGGTGTGTGGGCTTTAGTAGTTGGGGTACACCGGCATAGTTACTCCAAGGCATGTGGGATCCTCCCATACCAGGGATCAAACCCATGTCTCCTAAATTGGCAGGCAGATTCTTTACTGCTGAGCCACTGGGGAAGCCATGGGCCAGAATTTGAAGTATGATGATCAAGTTTGTAAGAACTGCCCTCTGCTTATTCCTATCACAGTGCTTGAAAGATGAGCAAAATTCGAAATAGTATTAGTAGTCCAAAGCAAGAAATTGATACAGTTAGCACAAAGGGCTAGTATTATTAAGTATGAGATTCAGAATAATAGAATTTGAGAGTGAACCCAAAAGACATGAAAATTACTTTCTGAAATAATAGAATTGAGAGAATTTCTTCACTCAGCAAATACCTACTAAGCACTTCTGTGTACCAGGCACTGATTAGGACCTATAAGTTTAGCGCCTAGTTCTTGGTGCTAGGAGTTAGGAACCCCGAGAGGCTTGCTGTAGTGGAGCTTACCTGCTAGTGAGGAAAACTTGGTTGAATATAGAGGCTAAGACTTTACCTGTATGTGTTAAAGAGTAATAGACCACATCTCTAAATACTGTTTGTTTGAAGTAATAGCAGGTTCCAGGTCTGAGGCATAAAACATACAAGATAATTACGGAGTATCGTGTCAGAAACCAAGAAAGCTGAAAGATTAGTATGGGTCTGTGTAAAAGATGCACAGACCAACTTGAAGGAACCTCCTTTCGGTCACAATGGGATAATTTGTGTCAGAAACAAAAATTAATACCAGTGGATTGATGTAGATCAGATATGTTTAATGAGTTCATAATGATATGAAAAAAATGTACTAAACACTTTGAGAGATTGCTCGGCCATCAACTCATTATTCTGAAAAGTGGTAAGTATTACACTTACCTGCCACATTACAGCCAAATGTCAAGGTGACTAGAGTGTTGACATTAGGAAGTTTTTCTTTATGGAAGAATTTCAGCTAATAAATTCCAAAGAAACAAGAAAATTGCCCTTTTACAGCTCCTAATGGAAAAAACAGCCCATCTGGGCAGCAGCCATTCCTGGAGCTGAAAGCGTGAGGTTAGAGATGAGAGGGGCTTTTCTCACTTCTTTGGTCGGGGCAGGCGGCCACACCGAACCCACAGATGACCACCAGCCCCAGGGAGGGGAGCAGCGGGACTGCGTGCTTCCTGACGCCACGCACGGAGCTCTCGGCTCTCCGCGGGGTGTCCTTGCTGCGCACCACCCTGCCCCTCTGCTGAACTGGAGCTCAGTCAGACCTCTGATCCCAATTACCAGCTCTTATCGGGGAAGACTGGAGATCGGGCCATTGTTAAGTGACACCACAGGTGCCATCAGCCAGATTCAAACTGTGGGACAGATGACCCAATTTCTTCAAATAAACGGCTTGAGAAAAGGAGATGGGCAAGTGACGGAGGACCTATTAACAGATTCTAAAAGCCTTGAAGCCACATGCAGCGTGTGGGTCTGATTTGAATCATCATTAGAACAAATCAGCTCCTAGACGTTTTTGAGACAGTCGGACGAATTTGAGTTTGGAGATGGATATTAGATGATGATTAAGGAGTTAAACTTCCACAGTTACAGTAGTACTGTGAGAGAATTGAAGTATTGCTGTTTATGAAAAAGATGATGTGATGTGGGAAGAACATAGATTTAATGAGGTTGGCAGCCTGTTATTGATTGAATTGTTGAAGTTGGGTTATGGGTACGTGGACTTCACTGTACTGTTGTTTGTACTTTTGTATATGTTTAAAAATGCTTTGGGCTTGCCAGGTGGAACTTGTAAAGACCTCACCTGCCAGTGCAGGAGATGGAAGACACATGGATGCAGTCGCTGGGTCGGAAATATCCCCTGGAGGCAAGGATGGCAGCCCACTCCAGGATTCTTGCCTGGAGAATCCCATAGACAGAGGGGCCTGGCAGACTACAGTCCATTGGACACAACTGAAGTGACTTAGCATGCACACAAGAAGGCTTTAATTTTTAAAGCTCTGTTTATTTAGAATAGTTGATCATGATAACGAGTCTTCTCTATCCTTGAATGCTACTTAAAGTAGAACCAGCCATCATTTTTTATGCTATGGTCATTGAGTGCTGGAAGCACCCTCAATTTCCTTTCAAGCATCATAACCTAGTTACACCAGTAGCTCTGTATTTTAGTTTCCCAGTCTGGGCCTTATGGCAAAGCAGAATGAGTGAACTAGCAGACTGGTATCCAACAGCCTTGAATTCTGGTTCTAGCTACTAGCTTTGTAACCAAAGTCTGAGTTTCTGATCACTTGCTTCTCTGATCTATAAACATTGGTTGATCATTCTCCATTTCCTCATTGAGCTTTTTATAAAGATAAATCAAGATACAGTTAAGTCTGAAAAAACTTCTCAGTAAGTCTAACTCTCAGAATTCACCTGTGCTAGAGTGCCTCTCGGTATTAAAGTCGCTGGTTTACTTGGCTTCTCTGTTTAGAGCCCTGAGGGTGTATGCTGTTTACCATGTTTTTAGCCCACGGTGCCTGGTACGTGGTGAGCATCTGAGTATTTGCAGAATGAATACCGATGTTTTATCATGTATCTTGCTATGTGTTTGAGAAGTGATTTTGCACCCTTGGTTCACACAGGTAACGCTGTTCTGTGCGAGTGGGAAAATCCTCAGCAGTTCCCATGGAATCCGCTGCTGAGATGCTGACAGCATCTACTGCTTGTCAGGCTCCTCTCTTGCAGCTTGCCTGGGGCAGTGAGCTCCCCCCACCGTCCCTGCCCACCCGCCGGTGAGGCTGAAGTATGGTAGCAGACTGTGACAGCCTGTCCGTTCTGTTTTCCATAGGTGCTGCCATGCCTATTGAGTCCCTTCTCTCTCCTCCTCTACCATCTTCCACCAGTGACTGTCACCAGCCTTCTGCAGCAGCTGATGAACCTACCTCAGAGCACAGCGGCCCCAGCTCCATCCAACCCGCACCTCTCTGCTGTGCTCCAGAACAAGGTGAGCCCTGAGCCCTGCGAGCCTTCGCAGTCTGAGTTACGGGTAAAAGTAAGCGCTGTGGCCGTCGGGGGGAAAGAGGAAGGTGAGGGGTTGGAACTGTAACCTTCAGCCGGGAGTTCATTTAGCTTGTGGTGATAGAAGCTGGAGATGGTAGTGATTTTCACAGGACAGGGTGCTCTGTACCTCACAAGGAGAAAACCTGCTTCTTTCGGGGTGCAGACTCCTCCGGTCCCCGCTGTGCCGTCCCAGCAGCGGCTGCCACGCTTGTGTCCTCTCGGGTCCACGGTGGGTATGGATGCAGGGCTCCGCTCTGCATCAGGAGGAGAGGTGGGTTTAGAGGGCTGAAGGGTATGGGGGAGCTGGCCTCCTCACTGGGACCTCTTCCCAGAGCTGTAACCACCAACTTCTACTTAATCTCAACGGTCAGCGCTCCGTCACATGCCACACCCAAGTGCAGGGAAAGCTGGAACATCTCTGAGTTCACGCCATTGTCACCACGTGTGAAGTCAGATCTAGTAGGAGGAAAGAGGATTACGTAGGTAATTAGTGGTCTCTGTCACAAGACATCCCAGTTCATATTTTGTTTATATCAGATTAAAGGTCCAGAGACTCCCAGGGGAAGTGTAAATACAGAAGGAGAGCGTGAGCTTTTAGAACAGGTTTCCACTCCTCGGTGGCCGCGTCCTAAGTTTGTGACCATGAACAGATCATTTCGCTTTGCTGAGCCCCGGTTTCCTGATCTGTAAAGTGGAGGTGATGTCAGCGTCGCTTAGATGAGCAGGCAGCTGTGAATGATGCAGTTTAATGCTGGGTACACAGTGGCGCTCACTCGGGACCATCTGGTACAGTGAAGGGAAAAGGAGACCCAAGGGTTTTCTTCTGGCACCTGCAAACCTGGAGAGCCTGGCTCGAAGGGCCGTGAGCACCTCAGAGACTGAGAGGGTGATGGTGCCTTGGGATGTAAGACAGGGGCCCTCAAGTTATGTGCCTTCCACATTATTTGGTCTCTTAGCTTTAATTTTGATAAAGGCAGTCAAAAAGCCTGAAGTCAGATGAGATTATGTAACCTGTTGTTTTTCTGACAGTGACATGAAGGGAACTTTGTGGAAAGGTGAGGTTATCCTTGGTGAGGTGAACTCAGAGAGGGGAGGATGGAATCCCAGAATCTGCCCAGCTTCTTTTCATGGTTGATGATAGCCATGATTCACGTGTTTATACTCCGTCTTGTTCATGTTTGTGCCCCTTTAGAGTCCATGATTTCTGCTGTTACTGCCCACGGAGTAAAATAAATATTTATATCTCTCTCTAGAGCATGTTGCTAAATTTCAACAGTCCTAGATATGGTGGATGAATCTGTTTATCCTCTCTTTTTTCTTTTAAACTCTCATTAACATCCTCTAAGCCTTTATATTTCCAGATATGTATGTCATTTTTTAAGGAAATGTTTTCTTCATTCCCTTTCTTTGTATATTTTCTCACAGGGCTTTAACACCTGTTTTCTTAATTCAAACTCTATTTTTTATTTGTATTTTTTTTTGTTCTATAAACTTTAATTTTCTGTTTCAAAATTTGTCTTCATTGTGACTTTCCCTTCTACTTCTGTTCTGGGAGAAAAGCTAACCTCCCCCACCCCCTTATCTTGGGGCAGGGAAGAGTCCGCTTGTAGTCGAAGGGTGGGATGGGGGAGCTAGGAGCTCCTGTTGCCCTTGAGAGGGCCTGAGCTGATGGGTCAGGAGGGCACGCCTCTGGGCTCTGCGTGGCTCAGAGCAGCACGGCGCGGGGGCCTGCATTCAGCGCCTCCCCTTGACCACCTGGCCTGGCTGTGGTGTGGCGCTGGCGCAGTGGTCTCTGGGGGGGGTCCTGCATTCAGTGCCTCCCCTCGACAGCCTGGCCCGGCTGTGGTGCAGCGCCAGCACAGTGGTGTCTGACGCCCTCTGTCTCCTCACAGTTCGGCCTGTCACTGCTCCTCCTCGTCCTGAGCCGCGGGGAAGACCTACAGAGCTCAGACCCTGCTTCAGAATCGGCGCAAAGCAACCCGTGGTCAGTCTGGGCTGTGTTTCCTTTTTGTAGTTCTTTCAGGTCCTCTTTTGTATTCCTTTTCTTACATTATTATTATTATCGGTTTTCCCTATCAGGACGGAGGTGATGTTCGTGGCAACCCGAGAACTTTTGCGGATTCCCCAGACAGGCCTGGCCAAGCCAATCTCTGTACCCACAAACCTAGTATCCCTCTTTTCTCGTTATGTTGACCGACAGAAACTGAACTTGCTGGAGACAAAACTGCAGTAAGTTGGAAACAGGACAATTCCACATCTCACTGAAGTTGGCACTTTAGAAGTTACGTTGAGGAGGTTGGGGGTGAGAGGGCGTAGGATGTCATGAATCCGGTGGAAGCGATTAAAGACTTCTGTGAAATACACGAATGTCTGCTGGATGAAAAGCACTGTGGCCACAGCAGAAACCCTCCCAGGGAGATAAGAGCTGGGGTCCAGACCTCTTAGTGCTCCGTTAGGAGAGGTCACGCCGGGCTGGGGTTCTGGGGCAGGTGACTGCTCTCTGAGCTCATCCACACGGGTCTCCTCTCTCTCTCTGTGCCGCAGGCTAGCTCAGGGGATTCGGTAAAAGTGCCACACGCGTCCTGGGCCTCTGGCTGCCTCCCGCACAGCTGCCGTCTTCAGTGGAGTGTGGCTTTTAACGAGGGAGGGAAGGTAGCTCACTCCCCAGAGCGTCTGGTGGGACCGAGTCCCACTCACAGGGGTTGTCTCTGAATGCCAGGTACTTCCCACTGCTCTGTGAAATGTGGCTGGGTTCATACTTGTGCCGGTTTCCTTACCTTCTGTGTGACAGTCCTGCATGTCCCACTTGAGTAGATTCTTCTCCATCCTGCCTTTTCTTTGCCCTCGAGACACAAACATAACCTCTCCCTTCATCCCCCCACCACTGCTCCAGCTCAGAGTAGGACAGGATTCCTTCCCTCCTCGCCCCTTATTAATATGACTGTAGGAAAGCTGATGAAGTAGAAATATATATGTATGTGCGCACACACACCCCAGATTTGTACGTTTATGTGGTCTCCAAAGGGTCCTTAAAGAACGAGTTTAGGCTGAGAAATTTAGTTGAGACACTATCCCTTCTCTAACCACAAACCAGCTGATGTGTTTTTAATCTGTTCCTCATCCATCTTGTGATTGATTTGATGGGTTCTACTTGTTCTAATAAAATGTAGGGTATGCAGCACGTGTAATAAACTCAGAACTCCTGGCTGGCCGGTGCCCAGCTCTCAGCTGAGCCGCCCTTGTCTCCTCCCCACTCGGGTTTCCTTCCGTCCTGGCCACCGCGGCGGGGACGGCACGCGGTCAGCCTTTGTCCGGCTCCCGCAGCGGGTACTTGAGCCCGTGCCTTCAGGTGCGCGGAGGCTTGCGGGAGACGGCCGACTGGAGCCTGCCTGCACCGCGCAGCTGCACCACCCTTGCTCGTCTTCCTGAGGCCGCTGCAGTAAGCCATGCTCTGCCTCCCCCTTCCCTGTCTCCACTCGGTGTCCTGGGGGAGCCGCCGCACCTCCCGGCTCCGGCCCTCGGCCCCTCCCCTCCGCGCCGCAGGCGGAAGCGCTGCCCTTGCCCCTTGGTCTCTTCCGGCCTGGGTCTGCGCCGGGCGGGGCGGCCTGCGGCCGGTAACCACCCTCTCCCGCTTCCCCCCGCCCCATGAGGGCCCAGGTCTCTGGTGATGCCAGCGCTAGGAAGACTGCAGCTGACTGATCTCACCCGACTGTCCTGAGCGCACCTTGCTGCTCTCACCTTTCCGAATGTAGTGGGGGAGGGGGGCAGGTTAAGGTATTTAACACGAGGGTGAGTTTTGCACATGAATGTACAGCAGTGAGGCCCTCTGCACCAACCGGCCGTCGCGTTCGTCTCCCCGCTGTGCCCCTTGCGCCCCCCGTCCCATCTGCCCTCACCCCCTGCCTTCCCTTCACAGCCGATCAAGTGAAGGCTTGATGATTATCTCTTCTCTTCTGTGCTTTTATCTTTTTTGTTTGGTTTTAATTAATTAAAAAGTTTCTAAATTTACATTTTTATAGGGTATTGTAAATAAAAGCAAATTGTATACTTGAAAAAAAAATGTGCCTGCATTTCTGCTTGTTACTTCTGAACATGCTTTTTAACGTTTTCTAGCATATTTAGATAGATCAGCAAACCTCTTGGTGCTGGGGATTGGCAAGGATGGTATCACCTGATGTTTTTATCTCTTATATTGTCATAAGGGAGACAGATAAAGACCTTATGTTTACGTGATAACTTTCCTTAAAAACCTAGGGTCTCTCCTGAGGGTTCAGTGGCTGAAACTGCAATCCCAGTGCAGGGGAAGCGGGTTCGATCCCTGGTCCAATCCCGTGTGCCACAAATGCATATTTTTAAAAAGAAAACCTAGGATGCTTTCAACAGTCACTGCCACCCCCCCCCCCCACACACACACTTTTAAGTGAAAAGCAGAATTAGAAAATTCAGTGGATAGACCACAGTTCACCTTCATCTCCTCTAGGCAGCTGAGAGTTTATTTAAGAAACTTCACGAAGCCTGGTTCACCTTAAGCTGCCCTCGTGGTTAGTATTTCCTTAGGTCTCATTTATATCTTCTCAAAAGAGGTAAGAAAAAATTGGTACTTCTTTGTAGTAAATTCATGTTAGCTATTTCAAACTTAACCACAGCATCATTTATAATAGGAATATTAGAAATAACCTAAATGCTCACTAGTGGCTAAATGATAATCTCTGTGTCATGGACAGTTATAATATTTAACCATGAAAAGTGTTTATGGTCTCGTCTGGGGGGAAAGCAGAAAGTATATATGCTTGGAATGCAGTTCTTTTATGAAAATGTATATGTGATAGGGAAGGAATTGGGAGGATATGCTTCCCAGGTGGCTCAGTGGATGCAGGAGACACAGATTGAATCCCCAGGTCGGAAAGATTCCTGGAGGAGGGCACAGCAGCCCACTCCAGTGTTCTGCCTGGGGAACCCCATGGACAGAGGAGCCTGGGGGCGGGCCCCGGGCCCCGGGCCCCGGGCCACAGAGAGCTGGGCGGAGCGAGCGCGGTGCGCCGCAGGTGCTCCCCTGAGGACCACCTCTCAGCGGCGGGACCATGGGGAGCTTCCTCCTGCTTTCCGTGTTCTCCAAACCTTCCATAGAGAGCAAGCACTGCTTATATTCTGGGAGGAAAGACTATGTTTGAAGAGCTTAGTTACATTAGGAAACAAGAGTATAGTGTTGAGTATAAGTAAGTTCTATACATGTATATGACTTTATGGGGGCAGGGGGAATGGATAAAGGAATACGATCCAGGGTGATTGGAGGGCGGTGACTGCCTTTAAGGGGGTGGGTTGTGGAGGATTTTGTGTGCAGATGATTGTTCCTCATCTTCATTGTACAGATTGTCTTCAGTGAGCATGTATTGCTATTAGAACCAAAAGGGGGTTATTCTCTAAAAACTGCTTAAAATCATAGCCCCCTACCTTCTAGTGAGAAGTGCTAGTAGGACAAGAATGTCTGATCTCATTGTGCTTGATTTCAGAGCCAGTGTATTTGACTTTGAAACGTGAATGTGCTGAAAAAAATGTGAAAGCAAGGCAGTTATCCTGTGAGGTGTGGTCAGGTATTCCATTGTTAAACACTTAAAATGCCAGTGTTAAACAGTTGAGGAATCAAAGAACCACTTTAAGTCCAAGCCGTATCTCCCAGTGAGTTTCTGTATTTACAGAAATTGCATTTTTTTCCTCACTGACTGCTGAATCAAAATGGATGGATTTCAGCTCCATCCACACAGAAAATCTGCTCAGGTCCGTTGTGGCGTGAGAACCAGTCAGCTGGCTTTCAGCAGAGCTGCCCTGTCTGTCTTAGAAAGGCCACGATGACCTTCCGAGTTTGACGCAGACCACCGACTGCCCTCCACCGTCTCCCTGTGGAGAGCAGTGAAGTCCTTTGTGTGAAAAGTCCACGTGGGGAAGTAGTGGGAGGCATCTTACACTTCTCACCCAACTATGTTTACGTATGTTGGCATTGTGATCCTTAGAAAATAAAATGTGGGTTTTCAGGCAACAAGTCTAGTGTCTTAAGACTACAGGTAGCAGGGTTTTGACCATTAACCTTGAAGCAGAGGCACTGTAGTGGATAGATTGCAGGTCACCTAACAACCTCAGCTTTGCCTTTTATTTTGTGAATGTGGCATGTAAGACTGTTCCAAGGAGCTTGTTTACTCACCGTGACACTAAAATCTGCGGTTCAGCCAAGTTCATTCTCCAAGGTAACTGTTAGACAAAATCAGGCCTGAGACCTAGGAAACATCTAGACGGGGACTAGGTAATCAGTGATGTGTGCACTTTTCCCTGTGGTGAGTAGAGTATCTCTTAAATCGCTTATGATTTAGTACCAATCTAAAGGACTCCACCACCACCCCCAGAAAAACCCTGGCTGACAGTTTGATATATTGTCCTCCAGGTGGTTTCTCTATGCATAGGCAGTACACAGAATAGTAGATACTGGATTTTTCCTAATGCATCATGGATATCTTTATATGTCTATATAGAGAGATACCCCTTTTTATTTTAATGATTGTATCGTGTTCCACTGCATGCCATAATTTAACTGCTCCCCTGTTAATAGATTCCATCCTCATAGTTTTTGCCAAGTTATCATTCATCCAGCAGTGAGCAAAGGTAACCCAACAATTGCGATTCAGTTGCTCAGTCATGTCCGACTCTTTGTGACCCCATGAACTGCAGCATGCCAGACTTCCCTGTCCTTTACCACCTCCTAGAGCTTGCTCAAGCTCATGTCCATTGAGTCAGTGGTGCCATCCAACCATCTCATCCTCTATTGTCCCCTTCCCCTGCTGTTAATCTTTTGTAACATCAGGGTCTTTTCCTGTGAGTCAGCTCTTCGCATCAGGTGGCTGAAGTTATTGGAGCTTCAGCTTCAGCATCTGTCTTTCCAATGAATATTGAGGGTTGATTTCCTTTTGGACTGACTGCTTTGATCTTGCAGTCCAAGGGACTCTCAAGAGTCTTCCTGAACACACAGTTCAAAAGCATCAGTTCTTCGGCGCTCAGCCTTCTTTGTGGTCCAACTCTCACATCCACACATGACTACTGGAAAAACCATAGCTTTGACTGTACAGACCTTTGTCGGGAAAGTGATGTGTGCTTTTTAATATGCTGTCCATGTCTCTATGGCTGTTGTTTATAGTGTACAGAGAGCACTGACATTCATTTTATAATTCAGGTCTTCTCTATTATCTTTTGAAATACTAGAATGGGCAGCTATGATTGCACAGTACCCAAATGATATTAGCAAGACCATCCAGCTAATAAGTGCTCCGGTTTAAGATTTAAACCGGAAGTTTCAAACTCCATATCCAGCATCGTGGCTACAAGAAGGCTCCTGCTTCTGGATACATGTTTCATGTAGCAGCAACTGAGAAGCTGCAAGCATTTGAGGACACATCTGCAAACTCTTCTGATTGGGTTTTAATGCCTTCATTTCCAGTAGGCAGATTAAATAATTCCTTCTCAGTAGTGTCAAAAATGTGACTCAGGTTTTAGCTATTGAGGTCTATTACAATATATAAGGATGAGAATTTCAGAAAGGCAGCTGTCAGGCATCTGTGTGCTCCTTTTGGTTTAAGCATTTTGAAGAGATTTTTAAAAAGATTTGCTCCCACAGTTCATCTCAATATTTGGAAATGCATTTTTATTTATTTATTTTGGAAATGCATTTTTATATTGGATGTATTCAGTCCCAGGTGGTCGGTTCACTCTTCAGCTCATGGCATTAATACGGGAACTCCACAAATGGAGCAGTTGCCTCATTCCCAACTGTGCCCCAGTTCCCAGCACGGAGGCCACACCAAGGAAGCCTCCAGCTAGCATCTTTTCATAAAATCGTTGGGCCACAAAGAAACAGCTTGAAGGGATTGTTCATCCTTAAAACTGAGAGGACAGACCTTAAAGGCATGAACTCACCTGTGTGTGTTCAAGGCCCATTCCGAATGACACTGTCACTCATCACAACAACCCGTAGGTTGGAAACAATTTGATACAGTAAGCCAGACAAGCACTCGTGAATGTCCAGCGTTACTCTCGGTACATAGGTGACAAAGGCTCTGCTCTGGGAGGATCTGTAGTATAGACAGGCCTTGATGAGAAGGTGACATTGAAGCGGGCAAATGAATACTGAGAAGAGGACGACAAGCAAAGGGCTGGGAGGAGCATCCCAAGCAGGATGAAGGAGGGGACCTGGGCCTGAGATGAGAAGGGGTGGGGAGCTCCCAGGACCGTGGCAGGTTAATGTTGCTGGAATGGAGTCACCACACTGCCTTGAAGGGCTTTACTCACATTGCAGCAGGAAGCCTTCGCAGAGTTTGTAAGGAAAAGCTTGGCAGAGTTTTTAAGGAAAAGTACAAAACTATTTTTAAAAGTCATTTTTGCTCCGTAGGGGGTGGGGAGGGAGAAATGAGGAATTTGGGAATAACAGAGGCACACTACTGTATAAAATAAATTAAAAAACCCTACCATATAGCACAGGGAACTATGTTCAGTGTCTTGTAATGATCTGTAAGGGGACAGAATCTGAAGAGGCTGTAAGTGTATATATGGATGTGTATGTGTGCACGCATCACCGCTTCAGGCTTGCTGCGGAGCGGAAATGAAACAA